GCAATACTCAAGATGTACAATGGAACCACTATGACTCCACTTGGAAAGTGCACTCTCAAGTGTGCCAAAGGTGAGATGAGTAGAGATGCAGATTTTTTTATAATTAATGAGGATGTCAGGCCTCTATTGGGTGCTGAGACATGTCAGGAACTGAACTTAATCAAGGTTATGGCAAGTGACATTTCAGAGTCAGAAACTGTGAACGCAGTAAATGACAAGGTTCAAACTGCCCACATTGTTCTAACCAGAGATCAAATTTTGAAAGAGTACAGTGATGTTTTTGAGGGATTAGGATGCATGGATGGCCCATACCATATGGAACTTGATGAAACTGTAAAACCTGTTGTCCACCCCCCTAGAAAAGTACCTGTCGCACTGAGAGACCGTTTAAAGGAAGAACTGGACAAATTAGTCAGAGAGAAAGTTATCACCCCCGTTACAGAACCTACAAGTTGGGTGTCTAGTTTGGTTTTAGTCAACAAGCCAGAGAAGTTAAGAATTTGTATTGACCCACAAGATTTAAACAGAGCCCTGCTGAGAGCCCATTATCCTCTCCCCACCATTGAAGATGTGGCCACTAGGCTATGCAAGGCTAAAGTCTTCTCAGTTTTGGATGCAAAGAATGGATTCTGGCAAGTTCAGCTAGACAAACCGTCGTCACTCTTGACCACGTTCAATACACCCTTTGGCCGGTATCGTTGGCTTCGCTTACCGTTTGGAATCAAAACAGCCCCAGAAGAGTACCAGCGAAGAATCCATGAAAGTCTACAAGGTCTTAAAGGTATAGAAGACATTGTAGATGACATACTCTGTATTGGCGAGGGTGACACCTATGAAAGTGCGGTTAAGGATCATGACAGAAACCTAATTGCACTCCTGGAGAGATGTCGTGAGAAGAATATCAAGTTGAATCCAAAGAAGTTACAGTTGAGAAAGCCAGAAGTGCCCTACATCGGTCATGTACTGACCCCTGATGGCCTCAAGCCGGATCCAAGTAAAGTCAAAGCAATTGTAGCAATGTCTACCCCTACAGACAAGAAAGCCCTGCAAAGGCTGCTTGGAACGGTTACATATCTTGCGAAATTTCTGCCTAACCTGTCTGATGTGACGGAACCGTTGAGACGTCTATTAGACAAAGGTGTGCAATGGCACTGGAACGATCCACACGAGAAATCACACAAGCAAGTGAAACAGTTGATCACAAGGGAACCAGTGTTGAAGTATTTCGACCCCAGTAAAGAAGTAACTCTGCAGTGAGATGCATCGGAATCTGGACTTGGGGCTGTCATACTGCAAGAGGGTCAGCCTATAGCGTTCTCTCCAAGAGCACTTACGAGTACCGAAAGAAATTATGCTCAAATAGAGAAAGAGCTGCTCAGCATAGTTCACGGGTGCACACGCTTTGACCAGTACGTTTATGGTAGACCAGTTACAGTACAGACAGATCATAAGCCGCTAGAAAGCATCTTCAAGAAATCTCTGCTTTCAGCTTCCAAAAGGCTCCAAAGCATGTTATTACAGCTCCAGAGGTATAGCTTGAATAAAGTGTTCAAGCCTGGAAAGGAACTATTCATTGCAGATACACTCAGTCCAGCATTCCTTCCCAATAAGCTGAGTACAGAAGAGTTGAAGTCGGAGGTTTTATCAGTCAAACAGGAAGAGTATCTAATCAAATTCATTGAAGAGATCAGCATGGTCGAGTTTCTGCCAATCACGAGTGAACGCCTTGTTGATCTCAGAAGAAAAACTGAACTTGACTAAGGTCTTCCGCAGTTGAAACATATTATCAAGATTGGTTAGCCAGAAACAAAAGAAGAATTCCCATCAGAAATCAGGAGATATTTTGATGTCAAAGAAGCGCTCAGCATCCAAGATAGTATCTTCTTCAAGGGGAATCGAGTAATTGTACCTGTAGCGCTAAGGCCCCACATGATAACGCAAGTACACTCAAGCCACTTTGGTATTGAAAGCTGTTTAAATAAGGCAAGAGATGTCCTGTTTTGGCCTGGCATGACCGCCGAGATCAAGGACTGTGTTTCTAAATGTGAAAGATGTAACACTTATAAGACAAACCAACAGAAAGAACCACTCATACCTCATGATCCACCTAAACGCCCTTGGTCTCATGTTGCAACAGACCTTTTCAGTTTTGACAACAAAAAGTGGTTCATCATCGTTGACCACCGGTCAGATTACTTTGAACTGAACCAATTATCCAGTACCAACTCAAGTTCTCTTATCAAGTCTCTCAAGAATCAGTTCGCACGCCATGGCATACCTGATACTCTGTATTCTGACAACGAACTACAGTTTGCTTCTAGAGAATTCAAAGAATTTGCATCCACCTGGCATTTTGACCACCAAACGTCCTCACCACGCTATCCACAATCAAATGGCTAGATTGAAAATGCTGTAAAGACAGCCAAGAAGTTACTAACCAAACCAAAGGCAAGTGGACAAGATCCATACTTGCCCACTTTGGACTGGCGCAACACACCTTCACCCAGTATTGGATGATCACCAGTACAAAGATTGTTTGGACGACGCACAAAGACACTGTTACCTACAGCAGGAACTTTGTTACAGCCAAAGATCATGGAGGGAACTGAAGACAAGCTCAAAGACAGAAAGATGAAACAAGCACTGTTTTACAACAAAGGAACAAAAGAGCTTCCTGAGCTTAAACCCGGAGACAGTGCGCATGAAACCGCTGCCATCAGACAAAGAAAAGCTGTGGCGAAAGGGATCGGTTGTCAAACAAGTAGCGCCTCGCTCCTGCGAGGTAGATCTCCAAGGAACTATGTTCAGGAGAAATAGAAGACACTTGGTAAAGACCAAGGAACCATCGCCACAGATGGATTTGGAATCCCAAGAAAACCTGCCAGCTAGTAGTACCCGTTTGCTTATGGAAGGACCACCTGTGATGCAAACAAAATCTGGTAGAGTCATTCATAGACCTGGACGGCTACGAGATTGTGTTTAAGGAACGTTGTTTAGGACTTTGAACTGTCATCGTCTGATTGCTTTATTGTAAATAAGTTCTCTTTTCATGACAAGGGAGATGTGATATTATGAAGTAGTGGTCAATACCGCTGACTTAATATCGCATACTCGTAAAAACGTTTCGGGGACGTTCTTGTAAGTTGATTGAAGTTGATTTGAGTTTTCCCTGATTAAAGACTGTTTGGTTGAGTTTGCTCGTTTTGAAAACAAGGACTAACACACCAAAAGAAGCTATCTTTGTGACACTAGGCCATTTCATTGACAGATGTTATGGACTCTCGTTTTACCAGCATTCAACAGACGATCCGGTCCAGGTATGGCATCTTCAAGGATGCCTCCAGATGTCAAATTGGGGACTTCAAACTGGACCTTGGTATTAAAACTCACAATGATTCCAAGGTGTACACAGCTGAAAGTGAGACTGAGTGGGAAAACCTGCTGGGAAAGGTCAAAAATAGTTTAAGCAACTATTCCTTTGTGGGTAATCATCTTTAAATAACACCTGAATGGTTTCTTGTTATTAGTTTAGTTGCCTAGAAAACACTCCGTTAATCGTTCCGTTTTGTCTCTTCTGCAGTGAGACTTATGGAGGTGAAACATGGGTATCGCCCTATAAAGGGAACCTTGCTAAAAAAGACAAAGATAAAGGGGCTATACAATAGAAGTGAAAGAGTAATAAAAGATGATCTTCTGTTGGAAAGACTACGCAATTACACTCAGACTGGGAGTGCCCAAGGCGACTTCCAGTTTGAGAGGAATGAGGAAAAAGAAAACTTATTGAAGAAGTTTCAAGACGGTAACCCTTGCCTTTGTCTGCTTGAGTTTAAGACAATGTATAAGAAATCCTAAAATGTTTTTAAAAGAAATATTAGAAGGAAAACTGACTTACTTTGCGGCTGGTGGGAATGTTGTTTTGTTTACTCAGAATGTCTTAAATATAAAGTGGCTACAAAAGTAGAGAAGCAGTAGTAATCTCAACACCAAACACAAGGTTAGCCATTTTATCTATAATATTTTTTAAAAAAAATTTCGTAAATTCTCACACTATGTTAAATATTGTTTCCAACTGATTGCAATGGCAAGCATAGAGACTGGCATTGGCTGTCCACAGTCAAACAAAATATATCCAATATCAACCTCTTTTGAACTTCCAGTGGTTGCAGTTTCTGCTTCTAAAAACAGCATCTACATCCCACATAAGCGACCATATTGATTTAAAGTAAGAATGATTTATGAAATGTTAGAGATGTGTACAAAATCGTCTAGTTTTCTTCAGTCCTTATTTTGCCTGTTAACTATTTTTGTATAAACTGATTTTGCTAATCTTTCGCTTTTGGGCTCAGTTTTAAAGTTTAATTGTGCGTTTTACATAAGAAAGTATACGTACCCATTCCATCAGTTTTCTCAGGAAACTTTTTATCTTGTGATTAAACTACATGACCGCATGAATCACATTTGTAAACGTGACTGAGTAAGTACAAGGTGTGGTCTTGATACTTTAAGCGCGACAACATTTTTAGATTGTCTTTATATTATTTGTCCGCAGAAATCAAGCTGAATTATCCGAATAATCTATCGCCCTCAATGAACTTCAAGTTAATTGTGGAAAATGTGGGGAAACGAGAACACTTAACAGACTGTGCTACCACAAACATTTTGGCGAGAGTGAGTTTGGTTTGTTCTTCATGCTATAAATCATAGATCAGTTGGGTGTTGCTATTTTGTTATATCGGTGAAACCATACCCTGTCTCTAACATTCCCTTTTTTACTCTTGTTTGTTTAGATCACTGGCAACGTGCAAGAATCCAGTTAGAAAAGGCGAAATACGAGACCTTTTTTATGCGTCCAGGAAAAAGTAAAAAAGATGAATGTCTTGACCATGACTTCCCGCTAGTGGCCTTTGCCTTTTTATTATAAATCAAATAAAGGAAGTACATACTTATTTATCTTGTATTATTTGTTTATTGATCTTAGAGCCCTGTCAAGCTTAGACGAAATGACAAGTGATACTAGTGACAGTCACATTTTAGATAAAGAGGATAACTCTCAAAGTGAATCAGAAGGAAATTCATTTCTGTGAGTTGAAGTTCTCCTAAATTAGAACCTGATTATATCGCCTTCTCTACTAGGGCTTTCCCTCTCTTTTCGAGGTTTCTTGGAAGTAGAACTGTTATCATGTTTGTCAGTTTTGAAAAACTTCATCCCATTATCGAGGAATAAGAGTGGTATGGGGATCGTTGTAGTTTTATAACTGTGATTCAAAACTTGTTAGACCTTGTTACTAACTCTGTCTTATTTAGTTGATCGGCTAAATTAATTATTTTCGAACAATTCCCTCCAGTTTTCACGTTCCAAACTTCATCTCTATCGAATTTCCCTACTTACTGGGGCATTTAGCGTGATCCAAGACATGTATTGACAGTGTATTACTCCAAACGCTACTATCATTTCTTCAAATGATACGGCCTATATGATTACACTAGAGATGCTTTGATTTACAAACAGTTTAATGCGTATTATCCCATATGGGTAGCTTCTGTCGTCCTACTCGTACACACCGGCAGTAACTGGCAGTATGTTTGAAATCTTTTTTTTTTTTATGTCACGAAGGTGTCTTGAAGACTTGGATCCTGTTGATGCAGCATTTCAAAGAGAGGTTGAAACCAGGTAGCTACAAAGAGATCATATATTTTATAAGGCCGTGCAAAATGCTTTAGAATTTGCCACAAAAATTGGCACCCCAACTGTGCAGTTTCAACACGACAGCACCATCCAATTGTTCAGTGAAAGCCTTGAATTTAGTGGAAAGGCAAAAACAATGAACTTGCTAAGGGGCCCGGGATTTTCAGGACAGAAAAGCGGTGGGAAATTTACGTTTGACTGGAAAAATTGGAACTTTCCCTTTACTCCGGGAAAAACAACGAGAGCAAAATGCAAAGGTGGATATACAACACGAAACGGAATTCAAAAGAGTTTATTGGAATCCTTTCTGCTTATTGCCTCTTCCGAGGAAAGTACTGTCTGCCCTATCATCAGCCAGTCTTCACTGAAATTGATTCCTATTTCTTATGCAACTGATGGTATGAGCCTTAAACCCGGCCTTCAATTTGATTCCCGCCTAAAGGAATTGGTAGGACTTCTATTCCCAGTGAACTTGGCGTATGTGCAAGCCCACCCCAAGCCCGACTCTCACATGCTTAAGAAATCCTTTGTCATGGAGGCAGATGCCGTGGTTCTCACTACCCTTGACGAAAAACTCTCTCTACCAGTTGGTAATAGTTTTAAAGGAAAGAACTTGACAGGCGAGAGTGTCTTCGAGAAGGTAACAAAAGAAGTAAAGCAAATACAAATCTGTCTACGTTGTCTTCAAAGATATGCTCGCCAAACACAAAATGTCATTTCTTCTGCTGAAGATATATGTTGCAGTTCCTGCCGAGGTAAGTACGCTTGAGGTAATTTTTAAGAAAACTAAGTGGTTTATTGACGTTCATTGGGTTTCCGAACATGAATTGCGAGGAAGTCCTATAGTTTCTCTTAAGGCTTCCTCGTCACTTTCAACTTTGCATTCCTTTTTAAATTTCTTTCTTTTGTGTATTGTGTGGCTAATATAAATAAACGAAAGCACTTGTCCACAAACCAAGTGCTTTATTGTTTCCGAGGTTTTCACTGCTTTTGAACTTTTTCAAACTATTTCTAAATCAGGAACAAAACAATTAGTTCAAGTCTGAATGTTTCAAGATCGCAGCTACTAATCAAGGATTCTAAAAAGTCTAAAAACAAAATAGAAATAAAATTTTTCATTGAACAGAAACATTTTTGTTTTTTTTTGGAAAAATTCCTACTGGTAAGAGGCAACCAACTGACTATTTGAATAGAACAAGCAACGTGGTCTAGAATACTAAGTTGATGTTGTTATTCAGCCCCTCAATTATTTCTCACGACAGATTGTACTGAAAGGAAAGGTGTTTGTGACCACTGCGCTCCTCTTGGTCAGAGGTTTTATGAAAGAATCCTTAGAGCTTGTGACACATGTGTCGAGGCTGGCACCCAGTGTAAGAAACTTCTTGTCCTTACTTGTTGTTGCTGTTACAGTGAAAATGAACAGGGTGCCTAAAATGGCAAGCATCTTAGAAATCAAAGGCGACATCTGGGTCTCCAGCAAAATCGGCCGACTGAAGGGTAATTTGCATAAAATAAAACATGTAACTAGGATTTTGGGAAGGCCAAGGGGCATTCTGACTGTGGTTTTTAATGATGTTTGTATGAAGCCTGCTATAGCCTGAATCAAAACTTCTCGACCTGGGAACTTAGTTTGAGTTTTTAAAAAAGAACTCGATTTGCTTTGACAAGCTTTTTGTCTTCGTTCCGTGTGTCTTGGGTTAACTGCGAGAGAAGGAATTTCCTTTAGTACTCCATGAACGCATCACAGGTTTAAACGTATTCATCCAAAGATAAACCACTTTCAGTTTATAACAAACATCTTGCAAGAAAATACACAAATAAAGACAGCGGACAATGGTTCATTTCGTCCATTGAGTGATTTTGTCTTTAAAATACCTGGCTCTAAATGTCAACATCTATAGTTTTTAAGCAAGGTGGCAACAATTATCCAGTGAACTAAGCCAGGCAGTCCGTCTACCATAAATTACCTTAAGGGAGAACACTGAAATGGGACGATGACGACCTACCGAAAGTGGCTGAGGTGAATTGAACGCTACTTCACATGCTCGGCTGGACGTCCACATGTTGTCGAGAAAGTGATACACAGGGCTTGGCATCCAGCAGTGAACGTGTGTCAATTTACTCGTATTCCCCCTCAAATCCAATTTCCTGAAAGAAGTTACATCTCAATTGTGTATTCGACTTTCAATGTATTTGCTCTTTGCATTTTTGTACTAAAACACAAGAAAATCGATTGATATGGATCTTCATGAACAAGCACCAGTGAGTCCCATTGAAACTTTCTTTTTCTGTTTTCGAAAAAAATGCTAAATCATTAGCTGATCCTCCCTTTTTTATCTTTAAGCACTGTAGTGAGAAGTCTCAAAACATTAGTAACTGCTGGCTCCATTTTTCTTCGTATGCATGTAAAGGAGATGGAGTAGTCAGACAAATTAAAAAAGATTTGGTGTTTTTCGGAGTATTAGTTAAAGAACGTTACCAACATCTGTAAAGAAGCAAGGAAACAAATAGCTTTAAAGCCGAGTGGCCTTGATCATCCAAAATTTAAAGTCAATAAATGGTCTGTGAGGGACAGACAGACCTTGCTAATTACCAAGCATAAAACGTAAATGCGCCAAGAGGAAAATGCCTCCGGAATGACTTATGAGGAGACCGAACTACACCAAGCTCACGAAGAGACAACGAGAAGTTCGCCGGTGAAAAAAGCTCCGAGGCACAAAAAAAGGAAAGGGAGCAAAAGCAGCTGCAAAGGAACACGGGCAGAGTGCTATGGATCGTTTAGGGCAGACATTTTGAACATCTCATTCGCATTTCCTTTGTTTTTACGGGAAATTCACCCGCTAATTCACGTTTTGTTTGCAACATTCACATAAAACCTCCCCTCTTATGGCCACCGCCTCCCTCAATTTCCTTGGCTTCTGAGAACTGTTTCCGCCTAAAAACAAATTAATTGTAAATTTTTTAAAAAAAGTAGTAAACGGGTAAAGTATTCAACATGTTCATTGCACACCTTCCCCTTACGTGATATAGCAAGATCTCATGATCTCTCTGATCACTTTTATGCTGATGATACACATTTATATTTATCTTTTGAAACGTCATCGCCTGAGGATTTGTCGACATGTAGATCTGCTATTGAAGACTGCATTAAAAATATTGACCTTTTGATACAAAATAAACTGAAACTGAACAGTGGGGAGACTGACTATCTATCAATGGTTCCGGACATTACCGCCGTATGCAAGTCTTTTGTTTTCATTTACGCAATATTTTTAAGATTCACAAGTTTCTTTCTCGCGATACATGCAAAACCCTAATTCATGCCTTTATTACTGAAAGGATCGACTAATGTAACTCGTTGCTCTAAGGTCAGCCAAAATGTATCTTAAGACGTTTCCAGTGTGTCCTAAATAGTGCTGATAGGCTTATTCACTAGTAGACATAAACATATTACGTCGTTGCTTATCCAGCTACATTGGTTCCCTATTGAAAATAGAATATCTTTCAAAACTGCGGTGATTACATTTAAGGCTCTTCATGGTGCTGCCCCTAACAATATCACTGATCTTATCAAGCCTTATACACCTGGTAGACTTCTTACATCCTCTAACCAATTGTTACTTTCTAGACCTAAATTAAATCTTAAGACTTATCGTGGCCAGTCTTTTTCTATTTATGCACCCTCAGTATGCACTTCCCTTCGAGATTAGATTTTGTAATTCCTTTCTTTCTGTTAAATCTAAGCTTAAGACTTGGCTTTGAAAAATTTGTTATGTGGTTGTCTTATTGAATGATGTTTTAAGGGACGATGATGTACTTTTATAAGATTTCCATTTAGTTTTTGCTAGGGGTATCTCTTTATGTTATTTAATCTTTATGTAAAGAGGTTTTGGACCACTGGGAATCAGCGCTCTATAAATATTGTGTTAATATCATAAAAAACAATGGGATTGGCTCGATTTATTGCCCCCGCAGGGATTTTGCCCAGAAGGCGAAATCCCGAGGAGGCACTCTAGTAACTCGCGCGTATATTAAGGAAAGTACTTACAGTTGAAATATACAGTCATACAGCAGTACACTCAATATAGAAAAAAATCTCTATTTGCTTGAACAGGGGCCGTGAGGAATCGGTAGGTAATGATGACGTTTCTATTGTTTGCACCTGCAAGTACAAAATGGTTACGATGACGTAAAGACAGAAAATCGCGAAGGGACCGCTCAGGTAGATTTTGTGACATTTATTGTGCAGTCATACTTCGATAATCTTTTGCCTTATGCAGTGAGCTTCTGTGGAGCAGTTGTTTTGAAAGTTATGGACCAAAAGACACTCGTTAAGCACAGGTGAGGTTATAAGGTACGTTTAACTATGTATATATAAACACTTGGAGAGTTTGCCAGACACAAGTTCACAAATCTTTGATTTATATCGGAAACCTTGCCAGACACTCTTTCTCTCTCTTTGACAGAAATGGTGATGGATCAAGTGGTCCAAATGGTGATGGATCAAGCCCGCAAGGAGTTAAAGAGGCACGAGGACAAACAATTTTCGGTGTTTGACGATATACCAAAAGAACTTTATGAAATAAGGAAAAGTCTGATGAAAAAGTTCAAGGAAGCCAGAGGCAAAGGCTGTACAGTATATTTCAGCAAAGTGCAACCAGATAAGTTATTTGTTAATGGTAAATTTATCCCTGCAAATGCTCCATTGACAGATTTTGTTTAGGTACGAGCACCGCTCTTTACACATTTCCAGAGATAAAAATGTACATATGTAAATATAATACTCTCATCGGAGCTTTTCTTTCACTCTGCTCTCAGATAGTCATGTATTTGCATATAGTTTCCTCGTAATCTGTTGTAGGCGCTAACTACATTCACTTAAAACTTTATTTCCGAATCACTGTCTCTAAAGCTCAACTAGGCTTTTGCTGTCGTATACAAATATGCAATCTCAAACAACTTTACTTAGTTCCATTCCAGAGCGCAGCATTTGAGATAGTTATCTTGCTGCTCTCTTAATTGTTTGTATCAGTCTTAAGTGGTTGTACTCTATTGTTTTTCTTTTCGTGGTTATTTTCCTTTAATTTTCTGTCATTCAAAGCTATCGCAGCATGTCAATGAAGAATTTCTTTGAGTGTCAGATTGCTGTAAATGTGTTGATAAATTTTCCCACCAAATTAGGTCCTACTTATTGTGGCAATATGGGGCGTAATAGCAAGTTCAATCTTTTGTCGTTAAATGTTCGTGGGATTCGCACTTTTGAAAAGCGGAAAGCTGTTTTTAGTTGGCTTGTAAATTCCGATGCCGACATAATTTTCCTGCAAGAAACATACAGCACTCGAGATATTGAAAATATCTGGAGAAAACAATGGAAAGGTGAAATGCTCTTCTCGCATGGCAGCAATCATAGCAAAGGTGTTCTAGCACTAAGAAAGGATAATTTAGATTTCAAAATACATTCTACCAAGGTAGATTCTCAAGGTCGCTACATTTTTCAGGAGGCTTATATTCAGGATTCGCCATATTTTCTTTTAAAAAATTACTCTCCAAATAAGTGTAGTGAACAATTTCTCTTCTCCAAAGACGTATCAGATGTTCTAAAAGGTACGAGAGTGGAACAAGATCACACATTTATAGTCGGTGGGGACTTTAATATCATTCTTGACCACGCTTTATATGGGCAGGGCAGGAATAGTAAAAGGAAAGACTCTTGAAATATTGTCGAAGACATGTCCGCTGAGCTTGATTAAGTGGATATCTGGCGCATAAGAAACCCAACAGTTACACGTTTTACTTGGCGTCAAAAGAAACCAATCATACAAAGGTGCTTACATTATTTGCTCATAAGCGATAGTTTAGAAGATGATATAGATTCAGTGGACATTAAAATGTCAATTAAGTCAGACCATTCAGCAATAACACTCTCTATGAATGGTTTAGATGATCCTGAAAAAGGACCTAACTTCTGGAAATCTAATTCAAACCTTGTAAATGACTCAGCTTATTGTGAACTTCTAACCACCGAGTGTTTTTTGGCCAAAAAACAAACCACACCTACCGCTAAAGAGAAGCTATCTGCAAAGTATCATCATTTAACTATTGACTGGAAAAGAGTTTACTTATTATCTTTCCACACAACATTAGAAATAAAACTTAGGGAATTTCGGTTCAAAATATTAAACCGTATTGTATTTACGAATGAGAAACTTTTTCGTTTTGGTATGGCTGAATCAGATAAATGTGTTTTCTGCCAAACTGAGGTCGAATCCTTCCGTTTCAAGGCCATATTATTCAGTCTTAACATTACTAGCAATCATGTCTCACGAGTCGCAAGTTCTTCACACCGCTGCAGGGAAAGCAGTCCAGAGTTTGATGAAGTCCAAACAGGCCTCGAATCACGATTGCCAAAGATGCAATCTGATTTATGGCACAGTCAATCTTTGTATAACAACTCCGTCGATGAAGATTTTAGCTAACGATCCTTGCATCGTTATTGAAGAATCAACACCAGATGAAATACCAGCCCAGATGCGTTATCAATATGTTGCCATAAGGGATTACTCCGGAAGCAACTTTATTCATCGATACAGTCAGTATCAAGTGACGTTACGTCGATTTCTAAGAACGATCATCAATGACCTAAAGACGGGAAAACAATTAAAACCAATGTTTTACTATCCCCCCGTCATAAGCGAATAGACTCTACGTCTATAGAGACAACAACGGCTCTTTTAGGAGCCACCAAATGAATAAAAGAGTCATAACCTATTACTTTTAAAACCTGCTTATCACCAAGTCTCAGTAGTACAGCGGCTTAGTATCTCTGCTTGTGGAGCAGAAGACGCGGGTTCGACTCCCGGCCGAGACGATTCGTCGAGCAAGTCTATATTATAGACTTGTTTGACTTGTTTATTTTCTTTTTACCTTTCTTGCACGTCGGGAACATGTTTAGCGCTCAGCATAAGCATTAGTACTGACGCAGTCTTTTATAAAATCCTAAGCTCACCAGTTCGATTCTTCTTGTTTCTTTCAGGTTTCTTTTTATTCACGGCAAGGTAGCGCCTGGAGATTCCAGATTCAAGTCCTGGTAGAGTCGTTCACTACTATTTTAATTTTCTTAATTCCTAAACTAGAAATACGTATCTCGCAATAACCCTCACGAAACTCGGTTTGGTAACGGCACTCAAGTTAAGCCCTGTCAGTCGGGGTTAAGAACTGGATTGGTGAACAACCGCGAATATCGTCTTAAAGGTCCATACGTTGTTCTTTCTTTTCTTCTTCTTCTTCTTTTTTGCGTATTATGTGGTGTTATTGTTAACAGTGTATTGAAAAGCAGATTTAGCATTATTTCGGCGTCCGGATTTAGAAAAAGACAAAAACAAAGAACAAATATGGCCCAGTGCAGTTCGCCTGAAAATTATTATTGTTCGGGCCGTAATACAGAGCTGAAACTTTGCAGACTTTGATCTACATATATCGGCGGGGATGGGTTTTCGACAGTGAACGATCATAATGCCTCTGATTCCAATCTCCTGTTCCTCTGTCTCTTGTTGTCGGCGTTGCCTTCGCTGTGCTAAGCGATGTTCCTTCTGCTCCGCGGTTTCTTGTTGACGTCTTCTCCTTCGTTGTTCACGCTGAATTTGAAGTCGGCGTTCTCGCTCCAGAGGGGTTTCGGTGGAAAATCTTCCTGGGCGAGGATTTGGAGCCACTTGTTGTGCTTGTGTCATTTGCATGGGAAATTGTTCATGATTCACCGATGGTAAACTTTGATTCACAGACCATGAATAAACACATCAAAATGTGCCTTGGTCATCGGCGGCGAAGTCTATGTTGCCTGGAAACGCAAAATGCTCTATGATGTCATTGGCGGACACCAAGCATATATTCAGTGAAAGAAAGATTTATTTATTTATGAAGCCTCGAATTTCGCAACTGGCCAAGACAACACCCGGTTGGCAGACTGCGCACACGCTTTGCGCGCGACAAGATTATAAAGTCACTATGCTCGGAATAAAATTGTTTTATTTTTCCATTTAAAACCAACTTTGATGATTGCGCATGCGTGTTAAGCAATTTTCCTACTCTCGGAATACTCTAATACACGTTTTAAAACGTTTTAACACGCTCCTGCGCATGCGTACTACACTGCACATTCGTACTGCGCATAGGGGACAGATATTCCATCCCACAAGTGTAACACAAGACCTTCGTTCACATAAATAAGTTGACCTTCGCCTTCTCTCTAATAACTTATAACCCGATCAGCACCCAAAGATGACCTGAAAAGAACCCGATGATGCATCTTTTGAATGACGTCAACAGCCGCCATCTTGAATCAAGGACATTTCGTGACTACTACTTCATGACATACACACTCAAGGACATTTCGTGACTACTACATGAAGTACTAGTCGACCCTAACAGACCAGTAATACTACTTGCCTTTGTTGACAGAAATCCTTCAGGACTCAAAGGAAGTTTTGACACAGGTTGCATGAGTAACTGCAGAAAGTTCTAGTACAAGAATTGCAATCTTGCATATTAAATTGCTTGTTTTGCATTTGAGAGTTTTGTGCATGTGCAGACAGAAGGCAAATTATGTGTTTTTACTTGCCTCAACAAATGGCGAATATTTGATATTTTGTGAGCCACTGTGGGGAAGCACTTTATTCCACTTCACAATCTCTTTTTCACAAATTCGATGAATTGAAAAACTGATCCTCACCTTTTAATCTTGTTTCGGAAATTCATTGAGCTAATCAATTAAAGAAATGTACATGTACACGTGTGTATTCAAATCATCATCCTGTGAGCGTTCATGCGTGAAGCGCATTGACTGTAAATATCTGGGAATTCGCTTTTAAAGACGGGAATCAAATAATGAGAAATACCTCATATAAACAACTTCCACCAAATTTGATATTTACTCATTAATTTTTTGACTTCATTAGGTGTATAAGTCAATCTAGTTATGTACACTGTGATCATAAGTTACATGTATTAAAAACCATATTTAATGTACTGATATATCACGAACTATTAAATTTTAATTATTACCTCTAAATTTGCACCACATGCTTCTTTGCAGCGCACCAGAGCCACTGGAACAGAATATTTTGTATAAGCCAGGGTAGTCAAGGACATAATTAAGCAGCTTGACTTTAAAAGCAAATGGTGCTTTCTGGTAAGCATCATATAATTCAGCCCCTGTCAGATCCAGTAATTCATCAACAAGCAACTCAAGGTAAGGATTCACATTTTTCAGTTCCTTCTGCCCATTAGCAGGAATAATGTCCACCTTTTGAACAAAGTTGACATGTGTTAACTATGGGCATGTTTATTTGCTTCAACCTCTTGCCTAGATGTAAGTCATTGCTATCACACAATATTGTAATTATATATACAGATATATACTGGTATATACAATCAAAATAATCGTTTTTTTTTTCATTGTATATATTACTTAGAAGGTATTGCAAAGAAAACCACTTTCACTGAACTATTTGTTGAAAACTGTAAATCAGTTTCTTGATTATGCTAAAACAATAACATGTTGAAGGCTCCCTTTCAGTTTGACAGTAGACGTCGCCCCTCACCAGCTATTAACTATTTTGATATTGCTGGGCTTTGCACAAAACTATTAAGGTGACTGGCACCAGTTTCCTGCATTTTTCAAGACCACTACTTTGACGGATCAATACTACCACTCTTTTTTAGTTGACGCTACAGATATGGTATCAAACAGATGTCCAATCATTGGTGAACAAGGTATGATCATTTTCTTTAAAATTACACATTACCATAGCAACACTATAACCTGTCAAATCACCTTTAATTTTCGCTTTAAGTGCTTATAACTCAAAAACAAGTACGGTGAGCCTCTTTTTTCAATAAAGCAGGGCTTGAAATAATCATCGGCCAGGCGCCAGTCCCTTTGTTTGGTCAAACATATTTTTGCTCGAACATGACCCGCTTTTGGCCGGTCAAATTTGAACAACCTTAAGCTCTTACAATCGTGACCCCAGATTCCATGATGTTGAAATATCAGACTACTTACATACACTAATAAGCTTCTTTGACAAACAGAACTCAATACGAGTCAGGTTGGCAATGAAAATTACAAGATATTAGTTTTACTCCTTTTTATTGTAGAGGCAGCCTGACGTTCAGTACGTGAACGCAAGATACAACCACAACTTCCAACAGTTAAATCAGGCAAAATCACTTTCATAATATATTTTAGCAATGGTCCCTCATTTTGCATTTGGTACATCAACTGTAGAAGTGATTTTGCTTGCGCAATTGCCTGCACATGCGCTGAACTATTAAACCATCCGTTTAAATAGTGTTCCTGTGTAGATGAGTACTTTCACATAACATGATCGATTGAAGCCAATCAAAATGGGACAGAAGTGTAGTGATGAGCTACACTGTATATTTAACAATTATTCCTCGCGCCCGAATGGGCTCTGAGTCAATAGCCCATGAGGCGTTTGGCCTCATGGGCTATTGACTCAGAGGCCATGAGGGCTCGAGGAATAATTGTTTT